TCTGATAAAGATGATCTTGGTTTTATTATACTTATCTTTTTAATTATCAAAAATATATTCATTGTTACATCATGCGATAAATATGCTACATATATAAAACAAAGAAGTTTGACGTCTAGACACATTTTTCCCTGTGATTGGATCAGTTTAATTAGTCGACGAACTTTTGAATTCATGATCTTTTGAGGTGTCCCCTTTTTGGATGGCTAAGTGATATGGCAGTTTTTATTTTGTCGTCCAATGATTTCATTTCACATTCAACAATTACATTGGCCATTTTACAACTACTGTATGTAACTTCACATTTCTTCATATCTCACGAGATGCTAATGATCATGTTGATCATTTGATATGGCGGCTAAACTACCGATATTCGGAAAAAGGTTTAGATAATCAACCTTAAGAAAATATCATTTTTGTTTTTTGTTTTTTTGGTCGAAACCTTAAGCAAATATATATTTCAAAGTATTTGTAGCCCAAAAACACACTTTAACTTGGTGTTGAAGGTGTCATGTTACATTCTCTAATTCGTTAACTTAGTTCGCTTTGTGCTACATGCATCAAAAGCTTCTCTTGGGGTAATATCGACTCTGATGACAATTTTTATCAAGAATTTATTCTAAAACTTTCAACATTAGTGGGCAGAAGAAAAAAAAAATTCTTAACAAAAATATTGTTTTTAATGAAATAACCAAATACAAAGATGGTGTGCTAATCCAAAAGAAAAGAGTTATTTGTACTAGGAGGATGAGCAAACTTTAGCTTTCATGGGCCATTTTTTTTGCTACAAAATGGCAAAAGATAAAAAGTCTCTATTTGCTCAAATCAGCAAGACGCAGAAGAGCCAGACACATTTTGTTTACAAAGGGACAAAGAAACAAAAATTCTGTTTAGAACTCTGCAAAATACTTTCAAGAAAGAAACAGTTAATACTCATTCAAAGATTTTTTGGAGTTAGATGTTGAAGTTGAAACCTTCCTTTTAATCGTCCGCACCTTTCTCAACTTCCATTGTTTCCTGCAAAACAAAAAGCCAGAGATGATTGGATTGTTTTTTTATACGAAACTTCTAATTTTCAAAAAGAGTCACCAAAGAAGCTTTTACTTGATTGGTTTGGGCGTCACAGTTTCCTCCGCAACACTCAGCAACGCAAAAGATCTTGAAACGTCGCTTATAATGTCATTCTTTGAGAAAGACTTAACCGGCCATCTCATCGGCACGACTAAATTTCTGCATCAATACAAAAACAAAACGATTCACAAATATTTCTCCTGTTTCTGCCAAATTAAAGCCACAAATTCAACAACTCACCCTTGAGAGCATATGTATCTGCACCGTTCTATCTTCACTTTCGTGTATTTCTTGTAATGCTTCTCTAGACATTTCTCAGTACCAGAAATATCAGAAGATGGCAAAATGTGCCAGATTTTCAGAACTTGGACATGGTGATTCTCTTTCTTGATAATGTCTATTGCCCAAATGAGGCTTAGGCCATCATCGATCTCCTGTCGTCTAAATAGATTCTCAGTCTCTGACTCCTGTTGAAGCTCCCCTTTTGATAACTTCTCCAAAAAGCTCATAATTCTTGTGTTAATTTCAGAGTCTACAATCGTCTCCAGAGATTTCAAGAACTCGTTGCTAAGCCAAACCTGTAGTATGACAAGATCAGAGAAGCAAGAATAATGGATAAGCACAGTAGTGATGAGTAGAACTGTATAAAATCATACCTTCCATATCGAATTTTCAAAGGATATAAGCTTCTGGTTTCGAAGCTTGTCAAGATCATCAAGTGCTGTTGTGGATCTTTCCATACACTGAGCTAATGATTCATCATCTTCTGCATCATGGAAACAGTCTCGTTTTTTCGCGTCATCTACTAACTTCCTCCAAACTGATTTATTGTTCGTTAAAGTCGCCTCGTTTCCAAGAATCCATAAGCAATATCTACAAATAAAAGTCTGATCCCCAAGAACAATAACAAAACAGTTTCACAATAATAAAGGAACATAAAAAGTGTTAGGTAACCTTGCGCGTGTGAGTGCTACATTGGTTCTTTGTTGGTTAGATAGAAAACCAATTGTTCCTTTACCGTTAGACCTGACAGTTGAGATTATTATGATATCTTCTTCACCGCCCTGAAACCCATCTACGGACCTAACACTCACTGAGAATAGCTCTCCGCTATTATACTTTTCGCCTATCTTTTCTTGGATTGCAAACACTTGAGCCTTGTAAGGGGAAATCACACCAACACTGATTGGTTTTCTCGCCTTCTTTGAAGCTGCAGATTACATTACAAAACAAGAATCAAACATCAACCTCCACTTTTAAAGACTGACCTAAATGAATCAAGATTTGTTTACCTGAGTAAAGCTTTGAGACAATCTCAGCCACAACAGAAACCTCCACAGCGTTTTTAGAACTGTATCCTTGTCCAAACTGTTCTCTTCCGTAGGCTACGTTGATGAAAGAGTAAGGTCCATACATTTTCTCAGGAAGAAACTTCCTCTCATAACTTCTGACTCTCACAGAAGGAGCATCCAAGATCTTCATACCGTAAAACTCTCTGTTTGGAAAATAACTAATTGAAGGATGCATCCGGTATTGCATATTAAGCAACTGTTTCTTATGCCCCAACAACACTAATCTTTCAAACAGACTCCTCCCAAGATCAGCCTCTGAAGCAATCTGTATATTTTTTTTTATCACATAGACTAGTTTAGTAAGCAAAGAGAAGAAGTTGAATGTAGATAATAATTAGTAAAAGACAAACTTTGCTTTGGATCATTGCAGGCAACTGCTTCTCATCACCGATCAAAACAGCGTGTTGAAGTCCTGGAAGCTGCAAAGGAATGGCTGACTCACATTCTTTTAACTGAGCAGCTTCATCGATCACAAGAAGCTCTATCGGACTACTCATGTGTAACTTGGCAGAGCTTGATGCTGTGCAGAAAAGCAGATATGCGTTTGCTAAGCAAAGTTTCTTAAGTTCAAACTTTCCAATAAAATCGGGAAGTGTGATACTTTCGCAAATCGATCTTAACATCTTCAGACAATCTTGCTTTCTTGTATCATTCTCGAATCTGCCATTTTCTTTCCCATTGTCTTTACGATAATATCTCTGTCTTCCATGATAAGAATTCACATTTAAAATGATATCTGAAACAGTGATGTGCCTGAGGAGATAGTTAGTCTGATTCATTTTTTCTGCCACTCGAAAGGACAGCAAAGCAGTTGGTAAATGAAGGCACAAAGTTGAGAAATGAAGATGCAACTCATATCTTAGTCTGCTAAACCCGACCTCTACAAACTCCTTAAACGAGTGGCGTAGTCGCGGCATTCCGTTCTTGACCAAGTACTGGCGATACTCTTCTTTCGGATCACTGAGCAAATAGATCATGTGGTTTACATTTGCTCTCCATCCGGTCACAGCCATAAAGCACCTATACAGCTCCTCAACTCGGTAGTCCAGGAAGACATCGAAAAGATCCTCTCGATCGTCAATCTTCATCCGTTCTTTATTTCCAAACAGCACAATATCTCCAAGACCATACCCACCAAACCACAATGACTCAGAGACTAATTTCACAACCCTTGAAGCAACTTCCAAAACAGCTATGTTTGTTGGAGCACAGGTCAAGGTCCTGCATCTCATTTTCAGAAGGTTCAAAAGCAGAACACTTGTTGTTTTCGTCTTCCCCGTGCCCGGTGGTCCCCATATAAGTTTGATAGTGTTGCAATGGTAGCAATCTTTAGCCTCTAGACATCGCAAAATTGCATCCTCCTGAGATGAATTCAGTTTGAATGAACGTAGTTTTTGCTCCAAGTTGTGTGACACTACACTCTCACCGTTTTCTTGGCAGGGAACACAACTTCCACCACCAAACTACACAAGAAACAGAGTTTTAAGATATGTTTTAGATTCTGTTCCAAGAGTTCCCTAAGTTGAATTCATCTTAACTACCTCATTGTTGATTTGAAGCACTGTAGAAATAAGCTTCAAGTTTCCTCCTTCTGGATTTGGATGCAGTCCGGTCCAAATACGAATATTTGTCATCATGTTGATCAAATAAACCCCAAAGAGGCTTAGGCTTTTCCTCGCACCCTTTCCTCTCTTTGTCGTTTGAGGGTTATCATCCTCGAAAACGATAGGTTTTGAAGCCAAAATAGTTATCAAATGTGGGTGATCTTCGTTCACTCCACAAACAAGAGCCAGCAAGTAAGGCTCATTGGAAAATCTCAAGTCATCGATTCGGTCAGGCCTCTTATCCGTAACCGCAATAAGATCGTTGACCTCTAGCTGTGTTCGACTTCCATTGCAAGTAGTATCAGACATAATATGCAAGGAAACCTCATACAAGAAATCCTTGGGAGTTTCGAAATCTTTGGCTGGTTTGATTCCAAAAAATTTAAAAGCCGGTGCACGGCGTAACGTTTGCATACTTGACAACAGAGCAGAATGTGTCTCCTCAATAAGTGGATTAACAAATGACTCGAAATACTCTTTGGTTGATGAGAATGTGGTAGGGATCTTATCAACCTATTAACCGAAACACAAAATCCATAAAGCAACCAACAGAAGTTTGAAGTATATGTTAAAAGTTTCAAAGAAAAGACAGTGAACAACATTACAAAACCTGTCCTTTGTAAAGATTTGAGTTAAGCACATCAAGAAGAGACCACGAGAAGACAACATCGACTAGATCTCTTCCTTTAACGATTCTCTCCTTCTTCTTGGTTTCCTTTACTTTCAACAAATGCTGCATCTTTCCAACTCTTGTCCCTGCGACCTCTCAATTCGAAGATGTTACATGCACTTGTATGCAAACATTTATTTGATCACTTGAGAGAGAAAGAGATATTTGGTTAGACTTGAAGTCCAAAAGAAGATGAAGAAATAATTCGTGAGGAGGGAAGACGTAAAGTTGAGGAAGTCCAAAAGATTTCTTCTTCTCTTTTTCCTCGGAAAGGAAAAGGAAAACCAAAGCCAAAACCGATTACTTTTTTTTTTTACTTTTAAAAATTCAAACATAGTACAACTTCTATGTTCTCTGACTAGGTTCACACGCATTCTCAATTATGTAAATATTTATTATCCTTGTGTGATATTCTTTGAGATTTTTCCTTCTAAATTGAAAGAACGATCTCCAATTCGTATCTATTAGCCTTAAAATTAGCACGGTAGTAAATCTGTAAATTCAAAAGTTCTTACGAAATTTTCGGGGATTTTAAATTTGTAAGATGTGATTAGAAATCCTGAGCAAATTGTACCATGTTTTCTTCAATTCGTCTCGTAAATAGTAAATATATTTTTATATCTGCATCTGTGACCAAAAAAAAAAAAATTTATATCTGCATTTAAAGTCATGTTTATTATCACCAAGACC